CTTGATGACAAGCTGAAAGCCTCCAAAGCCGATCCACGACGGCATTCGGGCGTGGGGTTTCAGGATGCAAGGGATTCGGTTTCGGCTTGATAGGGTTTAGGGTTTAGGGTTGAGGGGATTTGGTTTAGGGTTTGTAGGTTTTAGGGATTTAGGTTTAGGGTTTAGGGGATTTGGTTTAGGGTTTATAGGGTGTTAGGGTGTTAGGGTTTAGTTTAGGTTTCGGGTTTAGGGTTTATAGGGTTTAGGATGTTAGGGTTTAGTTTAGGTTTCGGGCTTAGGGTCCAGGGTTTCGGGTGTTAGTTGTCCCTGAGGAAGAGCACTGCTAATTGAGCGCAGGCCCAGCGAGTACAAATCCTAACCCGATACGACGCAGACTGTAGAGACGATCCGCTTAGGGCTCAGGTATGGTTTAGGGTTCAGGTGCGCATTAGGGGTTGAGGGTTAGGGGTATAAAATTAGGGTTGAGGGTTTAGGGTTTAGGGTTCAGGTGCGCATTAGCGGTTGAGGGTTTAGGTTTTAGGGTTTAGGGTGGAGGGCCCTTGGCCCCTAAAGTGCAAAGTTCACGGTATGCTCTCAGGTTTCCGTGGCCCTCCTTAGGATGGCTTTGACTGAAAAACCTACAAAACCCTACGGTTAGGGTTTAGGGGTTTTTGGGTTTAGGGTGTACATCCTCATACACCCCTAGATCTTAACCCCTGACCCCTAAACCGAAAACTCTATACCCTAAATCCCAAAGGCTAAACACAGCCATCCTTGCTTTCCAGGATCTCCGCAAGGAGAGTTCTTTGCCTTCCAGAGCGGGGTGCTGTATTTCTTGAGGAGGCTTGAGAGTTTCGGGTTTAGGATCGAGGGTTTGGGGTTCAGGGTTTGGGGTTGAGGGTTTGGGGTTTAGGGTTGAGGGTTGTGGGTTAAGGGTTGAGGGTTTGGGGTTGAGGGTTTGGGGTTTAGGGTTGCGGGTTTGGGGTTGAGGGTTGCGGGTGGTTTAGGGTTTCGGGTTTAGGGTTGAGGGTTTGGGGTATAGGGAGCAGGCTCAAGTACCGGATTGCCGATTGAGTGTTCGGGTGTAAGGGCTTCGGTGGCTTAGAGAGCCCAGGGGAAAAAAGGTGCCTAATGTCGGGCTAAGGACTACTAGTGCCTAATGTAGGGGCCCGAATGAGTAGAATACGGTTCGGGGCTCTTGTTGGTATACTTATGATAAGGAACCTAAGGAACAACATGGGCCACATGGGTAACTATTCTTAGGCTTCTATAGTAGACCACAGGGCATTCAGGTTGAGGGTTTCGAGAGGGTTTAGGGGCCCGGGCTGTGTGGCTACCTGTACCCGTCTTCGAAACTGTGGGGCCCGAACCCTACGCTACCCAACGCTGAACTAGAAACTAAACACAGTTTGGGGTTGAGGGTTTAGGGTTTAGGGTTTAGGGTTTAGGGTTTAGGGTTTAGGGTTTGGAGTTTAGGGTTTGGGGTTTGGGGTTTAGGGTTTAGGGGAAACCTCTCTCCTCCGAGAGCTATGGAGTGTGTGAGCGCATGCGAGGGTGTGTTTGTCAATGGTCAAGGCGATGCTTCTGGCGCTCTTTTGGTATTAAGGACCCTCCCAGAGAGCCCAATACTCGTTAATTAAGGAATTTTGCCTTAAGAAATCATGGGGGGCTTAGTATTATGATTTACGTATATTCCTCAATTAAGGGTTATTGGGCTCTCTGGGCTGTTGTTTTCCTCCTCACTCCTGCACTTCCTCTGACTCGCGCTCTCCCTCGCTCTCGCCCTCACCCTCGTGATCGCTCTCTGTTTCTGGGTTTAGGGTTTTTAGGGTTT